TAAAACACATAAACCTATAGGTAGGGGAACACTTTAACCTCCACAGATATTCAGTAATCGATTTGAAAGCAGTCATCCTTCTACAAAAGAATTTTTAAAAGTGGTTACAAAGTGAAACATCTGAATTGGAATTCATTTGCAAACTCAACACTGTCAAATTAGGATTAAATAAGGATCTCAACTGGTTAATGCATTACAAAGGTAATTTTCCCTCTCTGAATATTCACATCTCCAGACCAAATGCTATAATGACACACTTCCACCTGACTTGATTGGCTTTATTAACACAAGCAACTTCTTCCTTATATATACACACTCCTGCTTCTGTAACTTCCAGTCCAATTCATTTGATGAAGTGGGTTTTACTCACAAAAGATTATGCCCTAATAAATCTGCTAGACTCTAAGGTGCCACAGGACTCCTCATTGTTTTTGCAGATACAGACTAACACAGCTACCGCTCTGAGACTTTTCAATATACAGCAAAGTTATTTCATTTTCAATGTAGCATGTCAAAGTCAGACAGGACTCACAGATATGTCAGACCGCTCTGTTTTAGCAAAGCTCTGCTAAAATGCATCCAGAAAATGTGAGCACCATACAAGGTTCAAACCCCTTGATTTATACAGTCAAAAGAAAGTCAAGTTAACAAGATTAAAAGGAGGGGCAAAACTTCACATGATTAGCGTGAGACTTAGTCAAGTATCTTCATTTACACATCAAGCACACAGCAATCTCCTGTCCATATCTACTTGGTTCTCAATTGCTTTCTCCCTAACACCTAATGTTCCTTTTCCTATTAACTCTGGCTAGCACTCTGGAATCTGCATACCTACAAACAACATTAACATACTTTTCTTCTTCCTGTTCAGAGACAAACAGTATTCCTTCAACTTATTCAATTATTACAGCATAATTCATCTTTCTCTTACAGTATAATTCTTTCTACTTTCACAAGCATAAATACAAACTGGCCATCCACAAGCTGTGCTCCTTGTTAAAAAATTAAAAAAAAATGCAGTATCATCAGTGCACTTTTCCTAAGAAGCTCCCCCACCTCGTCCACTCCACCGATATTCAAATACTATCCCTTGTATGTTGGCTAATATCCCAATCCACCTATCTCTTGTCAAAGGCCCGGTGAAACAAATGGCTGTTGTAGCATGGAGAACAGTTTTATAATTGTGTAAACAGTTTTCTGGATCACAGTGTTTGAAGCTGCTGCCTCTTAAAATGTGAGAAAATAGTTAATTCAATATAATGGCTATCCCTACCCTAGAATCTGTGGTTTTCCAAAATCACAAAGTATAACTAGATACCAGTCAAATTCTTTGGTTAGATTTTTTTTCTATAGTACAGTACATACAGGCTTCTTTGATGTACAGTGATTGAAATGACTGATTATTCCTTTTTTTACTCATGGTGAAGAAATTAATACAAGCTTGTTTTATACACTCAGGATGGCTACAGAAAGCCAAGAATTTTGCAGGAAGCTATACTCCCATGAAAGATCTTTGCTAAAATGGTTAAGTATACTCATTATGAAACCATGCCTGATAGAGGATTTCTGTACATTGGTTTGAAACTACAGCTGTAAGCTGTGCAGAGGAAATGACAGGATGGACTAGGGAATATTTCATGTTTAGTAAATAAAGGTTTTAGTTTAATCATATATCCAGTCACACTGTAAGAATTTCCCCCCCCCCCCCCCCCAATGCTTAGACATTTAGGAGTGTCTACTGCTGTCACTTGGACCTGCATGTGCAATAAATCACACAGTACTAATGTTCTTCCAATAAGGCATTTTCCCCCTTCTCTTTTTTCAAATGCAAATTCAGTCCTAGAAAGGCACAAACTAGCAAAGAGAGGTAGCTAAACACCAGAACAGAGCTTAGAACAGAGTTTTCTATACCTTTGATTTTTTTCTTAAACCTAGAATCATTTTGAGAGATTACTTCTAAATTCCAGTTGTTTGAGGAAACTCACTTTGGGAAGTCATTTTTCAAACCCAGGTAAGCCTAAACTGGTGTTTAAAATTCCAACAAGACAGTGAAAGGGTGGTTAGCAAACTCATCTGACTCCAAATAGGCATTACATGATCTGCATTTTTATATTACTGAAGATGGTGGAATGGAACAAAAATATGAGTATTTCAGGGCCTACAACTACGTACTTTGCTTAGGCAAGAAAGGAAATTAGGATTGGCCAATCATTCATTACAACCTATATATTATGGTATTTGTGTCATGATAGCTCTCAGGCCATGTCTACACTAGGAAATTATTTCAAAATTACTAAAATCAACATAACTCCTGATTTAACAAAATCGAAATGGCATGTCCCCACTATGGGAAAGCATCAGAATTAGTCTGAAATAGCGTATCCACATTGATCAGAGTCTGCCTTGGACTTAGAGCCCCCAGAAGCACTCTCGGGAGGGCACCAGGAGGATAGATACTTCCTGTGGCTGCTTGGTCAGGCAAGCTATGACACGTGTTTTCAGGGGCTCCTCTCTACAGCCGCGTCTCACAAGCTACACTTCCACTGTCCCCTCTTCATGGGACACAAAGGAAGGGCAGTGAACATGTGCCATCTCACGCTTGGGTTGCCCTTGTGGACAGCACAGCACATGCCGCATGGAGCCAGAGCTGCTGCAAAACAGTGCCAGGCTCATGGACCTTGTGCTGCGCCTCATGGCACAGTACTTCCAAACTGCCCGCATGCTGCTCCAGCAGCACGAGGACGAGGACCTGCAGAATGAACCCCAGCATGGACCACAGGCCCTGCTTACCCAGGTCCTGGCGCTCCTGCTGCTGCACATGCCCCTCAATTCCCTGGATACCATGGAATGCTGCTTCTCGAAGATAGAGAGGAGCTCGGACGGGTGGGACCGCATCATCATGCAGGGATCAGCAGACGACCACATGTAGATGGTCACCTTCCTGGAGCTCTGAGAGGCTCACCTCTGCCCTCAGGCAACAGGACACCCACATGCGACCTGTCATCTCCATGCACTGTGGAAGCTTGTCATGCTGGACAGCTACTACTCTGTTGGGAACCAGTTCAGTGTGGGAAAATCCACAGTTAGGGCTGTGCACCCGCAGGTAGCCGAGGGCATCAACCACGTGCTACCACAGAGGGTCGTCACACTGGGAACTATGGACAGCATCGTGGATGGCTTTGCTGCCATGGACTTCCCCACTGCAAGGAGGCCAATAGCCAGCACATACATATCCTTTCTGGCCCCCGACCACCGTGCCTCAGACTTTATCAGCAGAAAAAGGTATTTCTCCATGGTGCTGCAAGCCCTCGTGGATCACAAGGGATGCTTCACCGCCATCAATGTCAGATGGTCGGGAAAGGTGTACGACGCCCGCATCTTCCGAACTTTTGCCTGTTCCAAAAGATGCATGGCGGCACTTTCTTCCCTGACCATACCATCAGAGTCAGGGAGGTGGACATGCCCATTGTGATCCTGAGTGATGCAGCCGAACCGTGGCTCAGGAAGCCCTACACAGGAACCCTAGACCCCAGCAAGGAGCACTTCAACACCAGGCTGAGCAGGTGCTGCATGGTCATTGAATGTGTGTTCAGCCGTTTAAAGTAGAGGTTTAGGAGTCCCCTCACACGCCTGGACCTCAGCGAGCGTAATATCACCTTTGTGTTGGCGATTTGCTGTGTGTTCCACAACCTTTGCTAAAGCAAGGGGGAGACTCTTCTGCTGGAGGGCGGGGAGGAGACTGAGGCTGAACATCTGGCCAAGGAATCTGTACAGCCTGACACCAGTGCCATATGAGAGCACATCAAGGGGCTGTGCTCAGAGAGGCCTTGAGGGAGAGTTTCATGCAAGGCCAGTTGTGAGACTCCCCTGCATGCCCGGGTTATTTTGAAATTCTGGGACTAGTGTAGGCCAGGACTCAGAGGCCCCATCAGAGGTTGGGCCACATTGTTCTATGCACAATGCAAACATACTATAAGAGAGAGTTACTCTTAGAGCTTATACTATAAATAAAACAAGACAAAGGGCTAGAGAAAGAAATTATTATTGCCATTGTAGATGCAAGAAATGGAGGCACAGAAAGTATTTTGAAATTCTGGGACTAGTGTAGGCCAGGACTCAGAGGCCCCATCAGAGGTTGGGCCACATTGTTCTATGCACAATGCAAACATACTATAAGAGAGAGTTACTCTTAGAGCTTATACTATAAATAAAACAAGACAAAGGGCTAGAGAAAGAAATTATTATTGCCATTGTAGATGCAAGAAATGGAGGCACAGAAAGAGTAGGTGACTTGCCCAAAGTCTCAGAGAAAGTCTGTGGCAGAACAAGGATTTAACCCCCAATCTTCTGAGTCCTAGGTCAGTTCTTCAATAATAAGATCATCTCTGGATTACCTTCTTGTCCAATAAGAAGTTTGCATTTTAATATATTTTACCCATTCTCTTGTTCTATTTGTATTATCTTTATGTGAGCATTCAAGTGATCAAATTTTACTGGCAAAACATCTGGGGCAAATGTGTTTCAAAATCATATGCATAAATATTTACAGAAATATTCACCATTTATCTAATAACATATAATGCTATGTGACCAATCACAGCTCAAGTTCCAAAAAGTCAAATGTGAAAAGATATGTACTGATTAGTTAATAAATTCAGGGAATTGTGATCTTGCCATTATTCCATAAAAGAATAAGAAGCTAAATTAATCTATTAAATAATTATTTGCAACTTATTTGTTCAGCTGTACAGATAACTTTTTCTCACTTTAAAAAGCAAAACCACGCAAGAGGGGCAAGTTGGGACAAAGCTCAGTTGATTTCTAAGTCCTATTTTTTTTCCTCGCCTCCCAGGCTTTTTGTTACCATTGTGTTCCTCCCATTGAAACACTTTTCCATTGCTTAGATGTAAATCCTTGTTCTGAGATGTTTGCTTGCCCACTCACAGCTGATGCATGTGTAGCAATGAGCAAACAGATAAGCATATGTTTGCTGGCTGAATGTAACAACCCTCTATCCCCAGATTGCTGTGACACCAGTGATGGGTTAAGGAAAAAATGACAAAGCCTGAAAATAATGGAAAAGACAGAAGTAGATGTTTATTAAGTAGAACCTTCTAGAACAGTAAAGAATACTCGCCATAATTTGATGTAGACCTAAGATTCTCCCTTGTGTTCTAACTCACCTTGAATCAGAACTAAATGAATAAAGGAGAATTCAACAAACTAAGCACCTGTTCAAAGTGACCTCATACGTTGGTGAGCCAGTTTTGGTGATTGTGGGTTACTGGAGGACTGGGCAGCTCTAGATGTGAGATGCTTTTAACATTTTTCCAGCATTAGGATGTCTCTAGCTTCCACAAAGTTGATTTCAGATGAAGCCATGTGGTTTAGATCTTTAAAATCCCTCTTCAAAGAAATTTCCAAGGAGTTTTTCATGTGCAAAATCTGCTTCTGTCTCTGAACTACCCACTTTCCAGTGAATTTTTCTCTGTATCTAACTGCTGTCAAATAGGAGGCAGCATTTTCTGTAAATAGCGGTCTTGTTCATAAACACTGAAACTGTCGCAATGTCTAGTTGAAGTGCAGCAAATTAAGCATGAAGCAGCAACTTTCAGGATCAGCTTTAAGAAAACAGCCTCTCCATCTCCTTGTGTGAAAAAAATTTAAAGACAGTACACTTTCTTCTTATATGCAGGCAACAATTCTAAAGATTTCATTCACAGTTATTCAAACATTAAGTAAATTGTGCGGGTAAAGAAATGTCTTCTTAAAGGACTATATTCCAAACCCTACCAGCACAGTTTATTCATTGTAATAGTTGTAGTCCCACCCATTCTCAGTCTCCCTCAGGCCTCTCACAGAGGTCAGATGTGTTTTTATTAACTATACCGTGGAACTGGTAAGCAGAAAACCTTCCCACCCTTCCCTTCTACTAATCATCAGACAAGCGACAGTTTTAGAGTGGCCACACCCAGTTTGTTATTGAATTCAAATGTTAAAGGTGGGTAGTTTCTGTATTTTTCTTAACCTTTCGCCCTTATTTATAACACAGTGTATTCAAGTGACATTTGTGTACTGGCAAAAATACCACATTAAGGAGCTTTCTGTAAGTAACATCACTCTTCAATAAATCATTGGTGCAAACTGTTAACTAGAACTGTGGAATTCAATAGTGTATTATGTATCTTGTAATTTGTAAACAAAGTCAGATGTCAATTTGTTTTCAAGTTGGCAATTTATTTTTCAAACTGCCAGTGAAGGATTGTGGAGTGGTTTATATTACAGGATTAAGACTGGAGTTGCCAACTTTGCTGATCTTCTTGGGAAACAATGGAAAAATCAAGCTGCACCCAAACTTTTAAAAAGTTGCCACTAATCACTGGCCATTTTTGAAAATGTGGGTATTAATTTCTTGGTACCTAACATTTTCATCTGTAAAATGGGGATAATAATACTTAATCAGCTCACAGGAGTATTATGATGGCTAAATTATTAATGTTTTTAAAGCATGTTAAGATCCTGTGATGGAATGTATCATAACAAAGCAAAATTATTCTAACTTTGATAGGCGGAGGAGTACAAAGCATACTTTATCATACTCCTCTATTTTGACAGTTGGAAAAATACGAATATTAGACAACCAGAGGCCAAACTTTGGAAGAGCTACAAAAAATGCATTTGCGTATGCACTAATTAGGGAAAAAAACATGACATATGTGGGGAGGAACAAAGCATACAGAAAGTGGTAAGGTAAGCAAGTGCTTTGTTAATAATGGCCCAGACGTCACAAGGAACTACTATAGAATTACCGTAAGTAAACAATGTGAATTATACTCTTTCTATGAAAAGGGTTACATGATACTACAGAAAGGCACTCTTGTATTACATTGCAAAGGTTTTTAAGAGTAATTTCTAAAGAACCCCATTCAATTTCTAGTTAACTCTGTTGGCTTCATCCCTATTAAAGTCTACACAATGTGTCCGTAAGAAAAGAATCATCACAAGTCCTCAATAAAGTTAGATTGAATTCTGATTTACAATACAAATATAAATATATTTCTCCGATCAATATAGACAACACTGTCAGTGAGAGGGCTTCTCCTGTCAACATAGCTACTGCATCCTGGATAGATGGAGTATCTCTGCTCAGGGAAAAAGCTCTCCCATTGGCACAAGCAGTATCTTCACTAAGCAGCATAGAGGCACTGTTGTACCTCTGTAAGGCATGTCTATGCTACAAATTACTTCAATATAATTAATGTTGCTCAGGAACATGAATAAGCCACACCCTGAGAGATGTAAGTAAGGCCAACCTAAGCATTGATATGGACTGTATTATGTTGGTGCTTCTCCCACTGACATAATTACGGCTTCTTGTGGAGGCAGAACTTAAGCTGACAGGAGAACTCTCTTCCATCTGCTTAGAGTGTCTTCACCGGACGCTCTAAGCTTCGGTGCAGCTGTGCTCCTGTACTGTAGACACAGCCTAAGTGTAGACAAGTTCTGACAGGATTAAAGATCATCTCAGCGCAGATATTTGCATATGCCAACAAATACACCTGCAAATTTTGTGACTGTGTTGTTTGAACATTGGAATCCAGGTTTCTGAGATTCTAAGAAAACAACACATGTAATAAATAGGACACTGAAAAATATGTGACTAATAAAGCAGAGGTGTCTGTCTAAGTCTCTATTATTCTTTGATTTTCTCAAAGGAGGCTTGAAATATGCTATAGATCATATTAGTATATATCACAAAAATGTATTTTCAAGTGGCACTTCACCAAAAAAGCACATGCAGAGATTTGCTACATTAGTCCAATTTCATTGCCCACTGCAGGCACAAAGACAGTAGATGTCTGCGGTTCAATAAAGCTTGCTTCGGCATCCACAAATGTTTCCTTCAACAGACAGCTGGACTTATTGTTGGTGTCTGACATATATCTGCAGCTGAGATATGAACTGGGGTCCTCCCAGGCCAAAGGCAGTAGTACCAGGGCTATTCAACACGTGACCAATGGCCCATTTGTTTGCGGAACTGTGATGCAGTTTGGGTTTGCATGGGGCTCAACACACGGGCTGCGGGTGGGATCCTTTGAACATAACCTCCACTGGGAACATGCTCTACAACAGTGAGGCTTCTCCCAGGTGGGGTGAACACTGAAAGACGCAAGGGGACGGGCTGGCTGGGATGGGCTGGCTGGAACAGACGGGTGCAGGGTGTCGGTGTTTCAAGTCCCCAGGGAGGAGGTGCCAGGAGTACTGGGGCATTGTGGGAAGTGCTTGCTGCTTAACCTTGTGGGCAGAGCCTGAGAGGTGCTGACTGGCTCACACTGGCCACATTTAGGTCCAGCACCATGGCTTAAGGCTTAATCCTTGTATTCATGCCCATCAGTGTGAAAAATGATTTGCATATACAGTAAACGTCCAATAATCCGGCATCTTTAGGACCCGGGGGTGCCGGATTATCAGATATGCCGGACTATAGGAAGGGGGGGCTATGAGGGGATTGGCGTGTGGTGGGGGGTATGCCACCCCAGTCCCCTCATAGCCCCCCCTTCCGATAGTCCGGCTCTGCCCCAGGTGTCCCCGATTCAGCTGCTGCTGGTCAGTTGCAGCAGCCGAGGGGCAGCGCTGCGAGACCAACCTGGCAGCACCCCAGCTGCTCTGCCCCCAGCGTCCCCGATTCAGCTGCTGGTCAGTTTCAGCAGCGGCTGAATCAGGGAAGCCGGGCACAGAGCAGCTCCAATTGTCCGGCTGCCCGGAGCACTTCCGGGTTCCCGATGGTGCCGGACCATCAGGAGTGCCGGAGCATCGGATGCCGGACCAATGGAGTTTTACTGTATTTGCATGTATATGCAACCACACATAAGTTGCAGCCCTCAGCATTTGCTGTGAGTATCATTGTGGCCCCCAGAGCTTCCAAAGTTGAGTAGCCCTGATGTAAACAAAAAGGAAAGCTCCTTCTGGCCCAAACAGTGGGAGCAGCATTAGATGCCATAAATAAAGTTGAACTTTGCATTTCTTGCAGAATTGTCTGCATACTCCAAAATGGGCTGTTATGTTCCTTGGTATCCTTGGATTGATATACAGCATGGCCAAGTGACCAGTCCTGGGGGGACACAAATGAGGAAATGTCATCCATGCACCATCAACTGTACTTCCACATGATCACAGTTACCAGACGAACTGTATTTCTGACTCCTGGACTTTTTGAAGTGCACCTCTTTCTCAGGTCCTTAGCCTTGATCTCTCCCAGAGCGAGGGACACAATTCTCCTGCTCAGCAGGCCCCAGGTGCTAGCCCTTCTTTCCTCAGCAGACCCAAATTACATTCAGTACCTGCATTTCCCTGCCCTCTGGGAGCATTGACTAATGGTTAATACAGGGACTAAAAAGGCTTCTCGAAGCACAGTATTATTTATTTAGAACAAAAGCATTTAGAAGAAAACAGTTCTTAAAACAATAAACAGACTATACATGTATAACTTACCAAGTGTCTATCCATCTTTCAGATAGGGATCCTGGTGCGTCTTCATTTCCTATAGAGTCCGAGTGGCATAAACTGTTCTCTTAACTCACAATCTCTTTTCTGCTTCAGAAATTCTAAGCATATTCCAAAACAGGCCACTATGTCTTTTTGATCACATACCCTCTTTCCGGAACCCGTCACCTTCTGACTGCTGATAGTCCTTTGATCTGTTAGCACCCAAAATAGCTGTGCAACTTCAGGCTGGAGTGCATAGGACATTGTCTTGTAATTGCCTCCAAGTGTTTTTTCCCAGGCTACTTATCTAGAGCCATTGTGTTGTTTTCCTATTGGTTTTTCCAACAGTTCACTGCGATGCTAACCAATGTGTTCATATAAGAATGTTTCAAACCCATATAGTCAGTCCATCAGTAACTATATCACTGAGCAGGTCACATTTAGTATTATAGCAGTATTCTTAGATTATTACATAGCAGCACCATGTCTGCCATACACAAAAAGGCCAGTCATAGTGCTGTTCTAGTTAAACATATCACGTAGTAGCTATAAAGCTCAAACAAAACACCTTCACTTGCTCATGCAAAGCCCTGTCTGTGTCCAAAATATCCTAAAGGAACATTCTTCATTTGCCATGTTGTGTTTTTTAAAAAGGAAGATGCTGAAATGGTTTAGTCAGATGCGTCATATTTGAGTAGGCTAAAGTTAAGAGTTCTGCTTGCTTAATAGATCAAAAGATATCATAGTATTTCTTGAGATAGATTAAATAGTAAAAATTTAGTCATCCAAATCCCATGAAAAGAAAAACAGATAGGCAGAGATATTGGAATAAAAACCAAACCCACCAGCATTCTAATCTTAAGGAAGATGCATTATCCATTAAATTAGACATTCTTCGGTTGAGGGTTATGGGAATTTCACAATGTTTCAGTAGCTGTTATAACTGCAATAGAAACAAACATATACAAAATAGTTAAAATTATACGTCAAGGTTTTGCAAACGTCTCAAACTATATTCCGAGTTCATAAAATTAGTTAAGGTTCAGAATCTGGTTATTCCATAATTTAAATCCATCTTTCTTTTAAAAAGTGATTTAGGTTTTTTTAATAAATACATTTTACTGTTAACTGTACTGTCAAGGATATAGACCACTCCCTATAATTTAGGCTGGTACATGTGTTTTTTTGCATTAGAGCTTTTCATTCTCCCTCTTTACCCCTTTAGACAGAGAATTCACTGGATTTATTTTCCACTCTAAGCTTTCTTGGCTCCATTTTCCACCTTTTTTTATTGATTTTTTTCTCTCTCCTTCTTACTGACCCCCTTTCACAATCTCTCCTAAGAAGAATGAAAATCCACAACATTCAAGCAATAGCAAAATGAATTTGCCCATCCTAAATGTAAACAAATTCCATTCCCTGCTGTTATCTGTCATGTCTTCCCTTGTGAAGATACCATTTAAAAGAAACAATAATACACACAAAACTACAGTATCCCAGAGTAACATTTACAACAGTTCAGTGACACTATTGTAATCTGTAGTGTTTGGCACCTTTATGATAGAATTCTGTATAATTAATTTAAAAATAAAGGCTAAATAGAGGTTGGATACAGCTGCTGATATAAACCCCATGCTGATGAAAAGCCTGAATAAAGCAGAAGTTGATAAACTCAGGGTCTCCACACTGGTTGTCTGAGACTAAACCCATATTGTTGGTTGAGAGATCATTATAGAACACAGATGCCAGCAACCAGCACTTCATTGTGTATACTGGCTATTCTGAACTATATACCAAGATACTTCCCATACTACTTCCGTGGATTAAGCATACAGAAAAGATTTACTGTTACAATTTTTTATGATGTAAGGAAAAAGAGCCCAGCAAATTTAAATAAATAATACTGAGGTCATCTAAGTACTTATTAATCCCCTATCACTGTAACATCTGAGTGGATAGACAACTTTATTTAAAAATTGCAATTCTGTGATTTAGAGTGAATATTTAGTTTACGTTGAGGTGTACCGAAAGAACACTGATGATAATAGCATTTCTTGGAGCACTCCTTAGAAATCTGATTATAAATGCTATGCCTGTAGCTTTATTTTACCCTACTCAACAGCATTGTGGTTTCTTTACTAGAGAGCAGTGAAAAGTCTACACTACCAAGACACAAAATTAATAAAGCATGTTGTTAAAAGCAAATTATACAACACATTTTGAGTTCTCATATAAAACAATGTAAAAAATAGCGTTTATCCTATCACTAGAGCAAAAGATCCAGAATTTTACATCTAAACATATTTGTGCTACTGATGGATTAGTTAAACTTAAGTGAAAACGTTTTAGGCATTTCTTACTGGTTTGTCTCAATACAGGGAAGGTATTTGATTTATTTTGCAGTATCTAATTAACCTTGAAGGGTCCATTAGAAAATTTGGATTATCCACCAAAATTGGCACAGGAGGATAAAGTCTGTTAATAACAAAATTATGGTCTGGATGAGGTTCTTCAGCATTTGTAAACTCAAATAAAGCAAAATGGAATTGCATACTACTGTGTAATCACTTCAGGCTGGATTCAGGCCTGGTGTTAGTCTTTAAGATGCTGCTAGACTAAGTTTTTTAGTATAAAATAATTATTGCAGTTGCATCTTTTTATACCAGGTCCCAGTTCAACCTTCTGTTCTAGGTAGACAGAGATTTTGAATTTTACTAATTATTTATATGGGACATTCGTGATCTAGGTTGCTATATGACACCTATCTCCTCGGAGTGAGAGTGCCTCTACTCCAGAAGATCAGTACACATCCTAAAACACAATTAAGCATGTTTTTTTGTTCTTGTCTGAGTATTGGCATTTCCGCAGTCTAGTGCCTGGACAAATAGCATAAGGATTTCACTTTATTGCATCACAACACACATGCAATCAAGTTACATCTCAAAATCAAACTACTGAAACACTTTTTCATATATAGATAGGCCTGCCACTACAGCACCCAGATGAGTCCCTAAAACATGTTCTATAACTGCTTTTTAACATGCTTTATTAACTTTGTCCTGTTAGTATAGACTTTCCACTGCTGTCTAGAGCAACCACAATGCTATTGAATATGGTATAATATGGAGATATACCTATCTCATAGAATGGGAAGGGACCTTGAGATGTCATTGAGTCCAATCACCTGGGTCCTGGTACCATCCCTGACAGATTTGCCCCAGAGTCCTCAATAGCCCCCTCAAGGATTGAACTCATAACCCTGGGTTTAACAGGCCAATACTCAAACCCCTGAGCTATCTGTCCCTAATTGCCCCCCCTTGCTCAAGGGCCTGTAGAGGTTGTCAGCTCCCCTGTATATACACTACCTTTTAGGGAAGTCTCATGTTCTCCCTTCTTCTCTGCTGAGGGATGCTCCAAGGGCTGGCTGTGATAACTCTAGTGCTGGTTTGTAGCTCTTCAGTACCAGCAGTTTGAACACAACAAAGAATCAGGCCCCTTGTGTCCTTTCCTAGTCAATGGGAGTTTGGGATGCACAGGCAATGCAAGATCAGACCCAGAGACAAGGCAAATGGTCTACCCCAAAGAGCTCGCAGTCTACGTAAGAAAATTACTGCAGAGGAAATAGGCTGCTACTTTCACAGTAGTAATATTTAAAAATCCAGGAGCGAATTAGAAACAGGTTTGAGTTTTATTAAGAAATGTACTTCTGGCAAGCTTAAATTAAACTGCATGAGCAAGCAAGGAGGGATGAATACCAGTGTTTCCACAAAAATCTGAGCACCAAAGGACCTCTATAGGATACAAGTCACATAGATAGGATCATCAAAATAGGTTGTCATTCATTAATCATATGCCAAAGGAAAGACACTGCTACTTGTTTCTGGTGAAAGTTTTAACATCATACAGATGAACACGAGAAACAAGTGACTACATTTTATTCTGATCTTAAATTCCGGCTATTCTTTGGATTTCTCAAACAAATCGAAGTGATATACACACACTCCCTTAGCTGTTACTCATCATTCTACTGACCAGGCAGACTATATAAAACAAGAGGAACTTTCACAGAACAACTAAATGCTAATACCAGCTCCTTAAAAGAAAAAAAAACAAACAAAAACAAAAAATCCAACAACAGAATATTGAGTACTATCAAGAGCTTATCATTGCTCCTTCTCCCCACAAATAAAGGTCTCAAGCTATTATAAACACCCCTTTTCTATCTAAATCCTCCACTAATACTCTGCTACTTAATTACAAAGTAAGGCAGGGTTTTTGGACAGTGAGTTGAAGTCAAGGAGGTGATTGGGGGGAAGTGAAATGGCAGCTCCAGCACATCCAGTAAGCATGTTATGGAGAAGGACAAGGACTGCTCTCTGTTAAACATGGTGATCCCCTCAAAAAAAATTTGGCTGCCTGATAAACTAACAGATGCCAAATTAAACACTTGTATGCCAGACAGAAATAGCTGTATGTGTGTCACTGCCTGCCCATCAGCACAGAATACCTTATGCTAGTGAGTTGGGATCTTTTAGAAAACAGACAATTTTTTTTCTACTCATTGCTCTCCTTTATCTCCTCCCTCTCTTTTCAACCCACCCCCATTAACTATATCAATACTAGTGGGGCTTTACTGCCACCAGTACGTAGACATTTGCACAGTTGTCATTGGCTAGACATGGTCACAGACCTCTTAAAAGCTATGAGCACCATACATGTTTGAGAAGGCTTTGTCTACCACGTATCAGCACACAAATGCTCTGTTGTGTAATTTTCACTAGGGTTAGAAATGAAGGACAAGATTATCCTTCCAGGGTTACAATCATTTATGCAAGAAATGTAGGGGTCAAGGACAAGAGACAGGCATACCAACAGAGACCCCATTTGGCTGTGTCCAGCAGTAAGTCAACAAACAGCTTTAGTCAGTCCACAAAATTAAAACAAAACCTATTTAAAAACCTACAATACTCAACTGCATGTATTTCAGAAGAGATTGCATAGGTTCTGTATTCAGGAAGGGAGAGCAGGGGCGGGGAAGGAATACTGAAGTTGCCTTTCATACTCCCTACAGACACTCAGTATTCCCACACACAGCTCTTATTGATGTTATTGCAAGCTATGTGCATATATGTGCAGACCCCTCTCTATACAGAGGTTTTCAGTTCACCCTTATGAATAATCCATTTCTGTTTCAGGAAAGGAAAGAAATGTGTGTGATTTACCTTCTAGGTATGTGATGTGTTATATCACTAATTATATAACTATCAGAAACATTAGTGCCAAAGAATCAACAGATGTGAACCTTATGAAGAGCATTCCAGTGACAGAGGACATAACATGGCATAATATCATTTGTTGTCTGGTTCCCAGTAGGCAATCAAATATAATCTCCCCATCCCCTGTTGTCAAAGGGCCTGTCGTGTCCACCATGACTAGGTGAATTTCCCATCTGTTTTAGGAAGGCTCCCACCTCTCTGTCCATCTGGATGGATGTGGGGATTGTAAAAGACCATTTATAATAGTGTCTGCCTTTATAATCTACCATGTTTTCTTTTAATGGGTTATGTCATTGTTAGATTTGACCACAGTTCTAGTCCAACTAATAGTGACCATGTATTCACCTTCCAAAGCTGTTCCTAAGATTGCTGCAAAGAAATTTCTTGCTACAAGGAACTCTTTGCCTGTCTATTTTCAGACTGGTAAATCTTAACTAATGCTACACAGGATGTGTCTGACCAGGGGAGCTAATACAAACCAGCAGGACACTTTCTGCACTGTGTACATTCTCTCTCTATGATGTCATTCCTATTGCTGACTAGGGGGAAATACTTTTATATGATTTACTGTTCTATAAACGTATAAAATATACAGTTAAAGTAAAGAAACTATTTGAAAGTTGTTAGTTTCAGTAAATTTCAGCACCATGCACGGTACAAAATCATT